GTTGAACACAATTCTTAACAACAAAGTATTAAAATAAAATTTAGTTTTGATTGAAAAACAGGAAGAATGAAACTAAAAGTAGAATATGACACTCACAAAAAAAAATAGAAAGACATTGTCATGATATTTATTGTAAATGATTTTAAACTAAAAATGTTCATTAAGTTATTAATCATCTTAATTGTTTCCATGTTGAAATACTAATTGGTTTAGGAAGTTTGGCAACATGAGTGAATGCCAAAAAAAATTATCATATTGATCTAGCCGCAAGACTAAAAATAGAAAAGAAAAAACAACAACTTGTACATATAAATACTCCTTAAAAAATTAAGTATGCTCATCATTTGTGAGTTGATATGTTGCAATACTGCGTTTACCATGCGAAAGTGGTTTTTAAATTTGTGTATTTTTCACTTAAAGGGTTAAATGATTAGGGAGCTGATTAAAATCATATTTTATATTAAAAAAAACAATAGCTTACAAACAATAGAGATAGGAGAAAGTAAAAACTAAATTATTAAAAATTCAGCAAAAAAAAAAAAATAAAATTCATTATTTACATAGAAAAACATATTTAACAGATGTGGCCATTTTATTGTCAAATTATTTGCCATTTGATATTTTTATATGAAAAAGTTCTGAAAATAAAGTTTATGGCCATATTTTTATTGGTTAAAATGTATTTCCATGTTTTGTAGGTTTTTTTTTGTCATCACATTTGAAGAAAAGCAAAAAGTGCATAGAATTTCTTTCTTGTTCAGATTTGAAAAGATAAAATCAATACAGCCTTAATTTTATTATTGAAATCAATAATTTAAACATTTATATACACTATTTACACACAATATACAATTTACAAGGGGTTTATATATTTAGCTTAATGTTGGTGAAATAAAATTTCATCAGAAGGCAAAGCGGAATCAACAAATAAAAAGGTAGAGCACCTGTTCCATGTTTTTAAACAACTATTCCAATTGTTCTATTAATTACTCTCTCCTTTTGCGCAAGAAAGTTTTTTAATCAAACACTTACGCACAGACTATATTTGTTTAGTTTGCTAATATCTAAAAAAAAACATAACTTTTTAAGTTTTGGAGTAAAAAACCCCAGCAATAATATCTGCCGGCATGGTAAAGTTTGCCAAGTATTTAATATTAACACATGATATAGAAAACAACAAATTAAAGTATAGGCCTTGCTTTACACATCAATATAAAACAAAAGAACATTAGTCCATTTAAAAGTATTGAAAAATAAATTCCAAAATGTATCTATTTTTTAAAATATAAATTGTAAAATATTAGACTTCTGACCAGTATGTAAATCATAATAGCCAGCTGGGAATATTTCATTGTAAAACAGCAAACGCTGAAAGTGTGATCAAACATTATTTCAGCTACCTATTTTCACAATTAACTGTTGTTTTTTTTGGTTCAATTCTATGCAACATGTAATGGACGAATCTACTGCATTTTAAGAAATTTAAAGCTTTTATTTAGTGTTTATTACACACAATGCAGTTGTCTTTTTCTAAAGAAATCTGGTTTTGAATGCTAAAGTAAAACTTTAATCAAAATAATAATAATAATAATAAAGTTTTTTCAAAAACACGCTTCATCCCTAAAGGCTCGAAGCGCGGTACAAAGAAAAAAAAAAAAAAATGACTAATAAATTAATATCAATATAATACCCTATATTTTATAATTTTATAAAGAAATCTGGTTTTGAATTCAAAAGTAAAAATTTAATCAAAATAATAATAAAAATAATAAAGTTTTTTCAAAAAAACGATTCATCCCAAAAGGCTCGAAGAGCGGTAAAAAAAAAAAAAAAAAAAAAAATGACTAATAAATTAATATCAATATAATACCCTATATTTTATAAATATTTTTACTTTTTTCGTTACTGGTTTTAGCTGAGTAAATTTTTGAACATGCAGACAACTTTCTTGGTCACTAATAAAAAATCAATACATTTTTAAAAAGTCAAGCAAAATTAGTACCGGTACAGTATTTAAAAAAAATAAGTTCATTTGAAAAAAAAAGATATATTCACAAAATTTGATAAAACTGTTTTTTTTTTTTAAAGTTTTAAAGATGAAGAGACACTTTTATTGATGTTCAGACTGTTTGAAACAAGTCAAGAAGACTAGATTGCAAATAAGATACATTAATGAAAAAATGTTTAAATTTAAATGTTAAAAATTTTTATATTTAAAAGTTAAAAATTTTAATTTTTGAAGTTCTGGATCTTATATTTAGGAGACTAAATTTCTCTTTAGGGACTACTATTATAATTGAAAAAAATGATTAACTTCTATAAATTGTATTTAAATAATTTAATCATATACTTACTTTGTAAAATTGTAATAAAAATTAACTGAAAATATTTTAATTTTATTTTTTTACAAGAGAAGCATGTTAAAAGGAGCTAAGTGTAACATTATGCACATAGGTATTGTCTATTTAAAGAAACATTATGCACATCTTTGTTGTCTATTTTATATATTAAAAAATTCAATTAATGAATGGAGATTTAAAAACCACAATGTTAATAAATAGTTCTACATGCTTTCTGTTTTATGAAAGTTAATGAAAAAATTACAATACATGTGTCAAGTAAAAAATTAAAATCATTTATTACTTTTTATTTTTAAAAAATGGCATTAAGTAGTGGGCTACTTAAGTAAAATTTATTTTTAAACTTTATCGTTAAAACTGTACATTCTTTAGTTGACATGGACATTTGTTTTAGCTCATCCACCGTCCAAGTGTCACACAGCGGAATCTCACATGGAATAAGTTGACCTACTTGACCAACAAAATGAACAGTTAACTATTCATCCTTTCAACATTCACTGTAATTATTTACATTCTTCAAACATATACTGATAAATAGTCAATAATACTTTAGCTAACAAAATTATTTATTTTTTAATATAAAAAATGGCAGTTCTTCTGAGTAAACTGACTATGCACTCTGACGTCATGAAACAAATAAGACAATTATTTGTTGGCTTGTGTTCTCCAAATATTATCAACAAAGCTTAACATGTTTAACAATGCATAAAGTTTATGAGAAAGGGCTCTAAAAAAAATGGCCAGTGGAAAACATAAGAAATGTATGGTCAGCAGTTTTGTTTAGCTGCTTCAAAAAAAATGCAAGACTGAATTATTTATGGCAATTTTTCAATATGAGCATCAAACAATAAACATGTATTAACAATATTAATATAATATAGTTTTGAACATTTTAAAGCTTTAAAAACATTATTTATTATTGAACATTTTAAAGTTTTAAAAAAAAAGAGATCTTCACATTAAATTTTGAAGATTGTACTTTCAGGAAGAAAGAGATGCCAAACGAGTGGCAACTAATGCTGAAGTAATTTATTTCATCTGAACCTAATGCCACCAGTTATAGGAAGAACCACCAAAATCCCAAACAGAATTGGCACAGTGCGACAAAGAAGGATCTATTTTATAGAAACCTGATTAATGAGACAGTTTTCAAAAAAATATCCGATGAAATGAAGTGGTCATTCTGAAGTATTGGAAATACCACTTAGCAGAGATGACAGATAGATATTGCAGAAGAACTTAAATTATCTTACAAATAATCTCTAAAGCATAGGGAATTTTCAGCAGAACTCAAAGTATAATACAAAAAATTTTTTAGCATAAGGAATTTTAGTTATCAAACAAACAATCTCTTCAGCATAAAGAAAGTGCAGCAGACCAGAACCCTAACTATTTTACAATGAATTCTCTTACGCAGAGAAAATTTACATCAACGTTGATCATGAAATCATCATGAAATATAGAATTATTTATTTCCATCTTAAAGTAATTAAAAGTAAGTTGTCGTTCTATTAATACATTTCAGTTGGCCATTTTTTAATTGTATTTTACTGATCGAATTTTTTCTGAAAAATATTTCTCACTTTTCATATGACGAGATTTATCCATAAGTTTTATGTTTATAAGATGTTAAAATTTGGCGTGGAAAAATAATTTTTTATAACACATGGTGATGCTAAACGAAAAACAATTCTTTTGAACATTGAAAACTGTTTGTAATATTTTAAATTAATTTTTTTTTATTATTTGGATTTAGCTCTTAAAGAGGACATAAAAAAAGTTACCAGTTATTTGTTGTTTTTTTCCCAATGAAATGGGGTAATTTTATTCAACGGACTTTTCAACATATACCCAAGTTAAATCATGAACAGACTTTTCAACATATACCCATGTTGAGTCATGAACAGACTTTTCAACATGTACCCATGTTGAGTCATGAACAGACTTTTCAACATGTACCCATGTTGAGTCATGAACAGACTTTTCAACATGTACCCATGTTAAGTCATGCACCAAAAGAAAAAAAAAATCATTGCAGTGCCTTGTGAATTGTTTCCATTGACAGACCGAAACCTAACAGACATGAGATGAGCATGTTCTTTTCATCCGTACCGGATTTCACCATTTCTTCCAACTCATGTTTCCTTGTGGACAGCTCTCCGTGCTCCTGGAGAAATCAGAAAATGAAATAATTGCATTTACCAATTTATGGTAACCAATTTTATGTCTTTGTCATATGCTCTAGAAATGATTATTTATTAAGTTAAAGGGACACTTGCTTAAGTTACAAATATTAAAGATCAGACTTTAACAAAGACAACATGTATATTATGTGCAAGAGAAAACGAGGAGGAAGGCCATTTAGGTGATCAAATAAGAACTGTACAAAGAGGCAGAGGAACACCTGAAGAAAAATGGACGTGTGGGTCAAGAGGACGTGGACAGCACAACTACAGAAAAGTGGACGTGTGGGTCAAGAGGACGTGGACAGCAAAACTACAGAACCAGACACACTGCGCTTTTATACATATGTTTATTTATGATGTGACCTTGGCTTGGTCTGGCTGTTTATGATATAACCTTGGGATGGGATTGTTGTTTATGATATAACCTTGGGTTGGGCTGGCTGTTTAAGCCCCTCTAGGCACTGACCTGTTCATTTTTCTCTATCTTTTGTTTCTTAGTAAGTCTGTGCTTTGCTGCGGACAAACGGTTCAGTTCTCTTCTCTGTTGACTCTTTTCCAGTTCCTCAGGTGTCATCTTGACATGCAAAGAAAAGTAATAAAACTGTTGGCATTGTAGGGAAGGAAGTAGTCTGACCTCTAATCTGATGGGGACTGTCATTTAATCTGATATGGACTGTCATCTAGTATTTTTCGCACTAACGGCCTTAGTTGGTTATACAATGTAGAATTGTAGGATTCTCGTGTTTGTGTTAATACAGATGGGATACGGTCAGTTGCATAGCAGAGAAGTCAATGGTTCTCAAACGATTGCAGTGTGAAAATTGTGTCTCGACACAGCTATGAGCGGCAGTAGCCTGGCGATAGAAGCCTGGCAATAGCCACGCTGCACATTTTGGGCAGGTATTTTGGGTCCACTGCAACGAATAAGGGTAGACAAACTTAAGGGTAGCCCCAGGGGTTCTAAGACTCATGCTACGCCAATGGTTCCAGGAAAAAATAATGAATTCATTTTATTATGTGCTTCTTGATCTTCATTATGACTTTTTTTCATTTTAAGTTGAACGGAGAAACATTGACAGTTTGGAGGGGGAAATGTGACAGTTTGGAGGGGGAAATGTGACAGTTTGGAGGGGGAAATGTGACAGTTTGGAGGGGCTTTACACTGTCAAACCTCCCCCTTTACACTGTCAAACCTCCCCCAAATGTGACAGTTTGGAGGGGGAAATTTGACAGTTTGGAGGGGGAAATTTGAGTTTGTAGGGGAAAATTTGAGTTTTGAGGGGGAAATTTGAGTTTTGAGGGGGAAATTTGACAGTTTGGAGGGGGAAATTGACAGTTTTGGTACCAGGCTAACTGTACCAGGCTAACTGTACCAGGCTAACTGTACCAGGCTAACTGTACCAGGCTAACTGTACCAGGCTAACTCTAGCATGCTTACCTCATATTTGACCTGTGGCTCAGAGTTTGTCTCAATGTCAGCTTGACCCCAGTTGTTCTTCCGTAGCAGTATTCTTGTTCTAAGAATGTATTTGGTGAGGCCTTCTGTGGAGTTCTGTCTGCACGCTTTCTGATAGGTCTCTGCCAGGTGTGGATCTAGGGTGTCTGTAGGAAGCTGTGCAATCAGAGATGGGTCGTTTTTTGCTGCTAACTTTGGGCTCACACAATTTGGCCCATTTGTTGCTGCAGAAATGTTGTGAAGGTAAGATGGTCCTGGAGTTGGTTCAGATGTTTGATGTTGGTGTGATGGTGTTGGTACAGAAGTTTGAGGAAGATAAGATGGTCCTGGGGTTGGTTCAGGTGTTTGGTAAGATGGTTCTGGTGTTTGATGTTGGTAAGATGGTCTAGGAGATGGTACAGAAGTTTGAGGAAGATAAGATGGGTCAGGAGATGGTACAGCTGTTATCTGGTGATGTCCTGACTTATTTGGTGACTGCAGTAAGGTCGTACTGACCATCCTCGGGACTGGAGTCAGATGCGTCATAAAATTCTCCATTCCATGTGTTGTGATTTCTGTAAGACACAGATTGTCTATGACGCCTGACACAATTGTACTTGCAATATCAATGTCGACAACATCTGCGATTGGCATCATATCTGACTGGGAATTTGATACCAAATGGAGCATATCTGACTGGGAATTTGATACCAAATGGAGCATATCTGACTGAGAATTTGATACCAAATGGAGCATATCTGACTGGCAATTTGATACCAAATGGAGCATATCTGACTGGGAATTTGATACCAAATGGAGCATATCTGACTGGGAATTTGATATCAAAGGGAGCATATCTGACTGGGAATTTGATACTAAAGGTAGCATATCTGACTGGGAATTGGATACTAAAGGGAGCATATCTGACTGGGAATTGGATACCAAAGGGTGACAATGGTGGTTGATAGTGGTGGGTGAAAAATTGTTTTCATTACAGGTGAAAGATGGATGAGACGGTGATTGGTGGGTCACGTGATGGAGTTCATTGGATGACGTCTCCAACGAGTGGCCAGAATGATCAGAACTGGGATAAACGGAATGTAAGATGCTTGTGTTTTGGTGGATTCCATCCAAATGACGTAAAGCTTCATCCGTAGTTTGGCTTGTCTGGATAATAGACAACAATGTGTCTACGTTCAATGATGGCAATGTGTCTACGTTCAAAGATGACAGTGTGTCTACGTTCAAAGATGGCAGTGTGTCTACGTTCAATGATGGCAATGTGTCTACGTTCAAAGATGACAGTGTGTCTACGTTCAACGAAGGCAGTGTGTCGACGTTCAAAGATAGCAATGTGTCTACGTTTGGAGATGGCAATGTTTCTGTGCCCAAGACAGGGTAAGGCGAAGCAGGACCTGGTGTGTTTATCGCTTCTGTTCCACAAAAAGATGAAACAGGTGGCAGCAATCGGCTCTGAGGTCTGGCGTTGTTGGAGGTAGTGACTAGTTGTACACAGAAATTACCGTTCACATCAACAGGGAAAGTCCCCGATGGATGTAAAAGTGTGCTGCCTAAAGTCCCCAATGGATGGATTGTGCTGCCTGTAGTTTGAAGATGACCCGAGTCAGGAAGACTGGAATGTCTGTGTCTGGCTTCCAGTGTCCGTTGTTTCTGGGACCTGCCTTGGCAGAATGTTCTGGTGTGGTCAGTATTCAGATGGGACACGTTTCTCGTGCAGCGCTTGTTCAAAGAGTCGAACTCATCACTGAGTCTTGGCTGAGAGGAAGATTCTGTCAGTCTTCTCCTTTTGGCATGGACTATTTCTATTAATTCATCGTCTGCTGGACTGACTGCCTTACGCTTGACTCGCTCCAGAGACTCACTGTCGTGGGGGGTCACGCTCGAGCAAGACGTTGGTCCGTTGCGATAGTTGTAATCATCATAGCTTTCGACGGACATCGGTTGGTTATCATTTTGCTCGGTGTCAAGGCCAACAAACATCTTGACCCAATTCAAATTGTCATAATCGCCCAATGTCTGGCTGTCAAAGTCGTCTAGCACATCTCTCGAGAGGTAGTGAAGGTTGGCGTTGAAACTTAACTCCGTCGCTGGCGTCTGGCATGGGTTCTTCTCTGGGCTGGGGGTGATTGGGCGGAACGCATCCGCCGGTGTGGGCGGTTCCGTCATGTTGTCCCCGTCTGTCATGACGGACGGCGGGAATGACACCGCAGACTGTGCACGGATGTCATCGGGAATGTCATCGGGAATGTCATCTAGGTCTACATCATCGGTGATGTCAATAAAAGTTTGATTGAGCCAACCATCCTGCCAGTTCTTGTTATGTTGTTGCTGCATGTTGTTAGATCAGTGGTTGGGGACCTTTCTCATCAGACAGACGTCACCAATGTGTACATCAGACAGACGTCACCACTGTGTACATCAGACAGACGTCACCAATGTGTACGTCAATCTAGTAGGTCTGTTCAGCTGTAAAGAGTCGAGAAAAATCCCATCCTAATGAATAAATGAAACTTTAGACCCCAAGCTCACGGACACCCCCCCCCAAGCTCACGGACACCCCCCCCC